TGTGGTACGTTACATTGACTGATTTGTGGACGTTGAACCATCCCTGCGTCCCTGGAATAAATCCCACCTGATCGTGGTGTATGATCCTTTTAATGATTTATTGAATTCTGTTTGCTAATATTTTTTTGAGGATTTTTCCTTCTATGTTCATCAGGGATATTGGCTTATAATCTTCTTTTCTTCCGGCATCTTTGATTTTGGTATCAGGGTAATGCTGGCCTTGCAAAATAAGTTTGGAAGAATTCCCTCCTCTTCTGTCCTTTGGAAGAATTTGAGAAAGATGGGCATTAATTCTCTGTTGAATGTTTGGTAGAACTCACCAGTGAAGTTGTCTGGTCCTAGACTTTTGTTTGTTGAGAAGTTTTTGATTACTGATTCAATCTCCTTACTAGTAATTGGTCTATTCAGATTTTCTACTTCATCATGATTCAGTCTTGGTAGGTTGTATATTTCTGGGAATTTATCCATTTCTTCTGTGTTGTCAAGAAGAATATAAAAGATAAGGCTTACCTGTTTATGTACTGTATGTACACATGAAAGGGTGAGATGTTTCTGCTACCTAATAGCTAATTCTCTCCCCCTTTGGGGTCAACATTGCCCCTCTTGAGAATGCATGATATAGGGCCTTATCAGTAATTTTAAGGAATTCGTGTACTCCAGAGCATATTAGTTAGTTAGTTAGTTTTTTTTTTTAATGATTTATTCATTTATTTCGTAGGGGAGAGGCAGAGGAAGAGAGAGTCCCAAACAGACTCTGTGCTGAGTACAGAGCCTGATGCAGGGCTTGATCCCACACTTCTGAGACCATGACCTGAGCCAAAATCAAGAGTTGGACGCCCAACTGACTGAGTCACCCAGGTGCCCCTCCAGAGCATATTTGAACTCAAAGTAGTTCAAGACACTAGCTCTATAAACTCCACACCCAGGGTTCCACTAGTATCTAATAGATGTCTTCAACTAAAAATGTCGAAAACTGAACTCCTTATCCCATTCCCCATCCCTTGTCTTCCGCATTTCAGATAGCAGTGACCCCTTGCTCTGGTCAAGGAAACTCGGCAGCATCTAGGCCCCTCTTTCTCTCACAGCGCAACTGCTTCTCACCCCCTCTCTGCTGTCACCCTGCCCGAGCCTACATCATTGCTCACCTCACCTGTCACAGTGGCCTCCCACCTGGCCGTCCTGCTTCAGCTCTTGTACCCCCAGTGCCTGCCCAGTCATAGGTGCCTTATGGGAGAGGATGAAGGAGAGGAGGTAGGATAATGTGCTGGGGGTTGTCCCAGTGGGCCCCATGAACCAGAGAGAGGCGGGGGGGGGGGGAGAAGTGGAGGAGCTTGATGTCCCAGAGTTCCTGCCCCAGCCAGTATCAGTGTGGGAATACAGGGGGTGTGAACGCCAGTTCCTGGGGAAGCCTACATTCTTGCGCCTTCCTGCCCCACCTGCCTCATTTCCTCCCCGTGTAAATTTATGTCAGGCTCTGACCTCAGCACCCTCTCAATGCCCAGAAATGGCCCCCTTTCTCATCAGAAGTGACACTGGGCTCCGTTCTTCTGAGGGTCGCTGTGTGCTTTCCGGGTACAGACCAAGAAGCAGGGACAGCTGGGACATGAACTAGCGGGTGAAGCGGCCCAAGCACAGCCCCCCATGTCCACTCCACCACGGCAAGCTCAGCTTTCAGCCCAGAGTTCAGGCAAGGGTTCCCTGGGGCCTCCCCATGCCATCCTTTCTCAGGGCCTCCTGGACTTTGTCCGCAGCATCAGATGCTCCCTGCGTCAGATGCTTTGTGACCATCTTACGGCTGTCTGTCTCGCCCACCAGGCTCCAGGCCTGACGTGGGCAGCCCCGTGTCCATGCGGCCTGCTACATTCTCCCCCAGCCCAGCAGCCACCAAACCACAGGAACTCAATAAACCTTGGTGGGAAAACAAGTGGATGTTTGATCCAGGGTGTGGAGTTCAGGGGAAGGAAGCTTGAACTCATCAGGAGCGGCCTCTCAGCTAAGGAGAGAGGGGCCGTGTGCGCCTGAAGGACGCAGTCACGTCATAACACAGGGATCCTGTTGGGGAAAGATGGACGCCTGGAACTCCCTCTCCTGAGCACAGCCAGGCCGTTCCCCCGGAGCCTGGCCGTGGGCCTCTCATCTCAGTGGCCTTGGCCAGTCGGGGAGGGAGATGCCAGACCCTCTCGTGGGCCAGAGCACACAGCGTACACAACCCGACCTTGGCCTGGCATTTCAGGGGCTTGGCCAGAGCCACGCATGGACAGCGAGATGCCGCTTCCAGGCTCTGGCAAGCCATGGTGGTTCTTGCGCTTTTCCTTCTAGGAGCTTAGCTGCTGGGGGGCATTGTTAGAGTAACGAGGCACCTGGGAGGGGGGTGGAAACTCCCCCTTTGCTTTCCCTGAAGTTCTGCTTCCCTTCCCCATTTCTACCCTCCCCTCCTGGAGGCCTTGTCTTATGTTCTGGAAGGCTCTGGGGCTTCACACCACACGTTTCCAGGCCTTGGAGCAGCATGGCGGCTGGTGGTCTCCAGGGCTGTGTGTGCCCTCCACAGACCCTCGTCACCTTTGCCCCTCTTGGGCTTCCCTTGTCTCTGCCTCTCCATTCACACTCACCCAGGCTGGTCGCATGCTGTCACCCTGACTTCAGCAAGACAGGGGTTGATGCTCTCTGACCAGAGAAAACCATGATCCTGGTTATGATAAGACCTGGGGGCTGGGCAGGCGGGCTCTTGGGACGAGTGCTGGGAGAGCTGAAGGACCCATGCTGGAAGTCAGGAGGTGACTCCTGCCCTTCACATCACAGGCCACACCGAATGGTATCTTTTCTCCAGACAGTACGCCTTCCTATGCTTCTTGTGTTTTTCCAAACTCTCCAAATCCCTCCAAACCCAGGGCCCTTCCCCCTCATTTCTACCTGGTGAATAATTTCTTACCTTTGAAAGAACTGCCTTGGGGCCCCTGGCTGGTTCAGTCCATGAGCATGTAACCACTGATCTAGGTTTTGTGAGTGTGAGTCTCATATTGGGCGTAGAGCCTACTAAAAAGAAACCTTTTTAATTAAAAAATAAATAAAAGGGGCAGCCCCTGTGGCCCAGCGGTTTAGCGCCACCTTCAGCCCAAGGCATGATCCTGGAGACCCGGGATCGAGTCCCACGTTGGGCTCCCTGCATGGAGCCTGCTTCTCCCTCTGCCTGTGTCTCTGCCTTTCTCTCTCTCCCTTTTTCTGTGTCTGTTATGAAAAAAATAAATAAAATCCTAAAAAATAAATGAATGAATGAATGAATGAACGAACGAACAAACAAACTGGCTCGGAACTAGAGCACCCCTGACCCCACCTCACCCCACCAAAGCGTGTGACTTTTCTCTGGGTTCCACAACCATTTGCATTAACCAAAGCTCTTTCATGTCTTCTGGTCGTTTCTTTGCTTGACTCCCTGGAGGCAGAAAGCAGGCAGGTCTTATTTATGTCTACAAAGCTCCTAGCCCAGTCCAGTGCCTGGCACTTGGTAGGTCCTCCATGGGAATCTTCATGAAAGAATATCTCAGGAGAGGCTCCATCAGAAAGATGGTCTCTGAGAAAGGCCTTGGAGACGCTTGGGTCTCAACAGCAGCCCATACTGGAGGGCCAGGATGAGCTTTCCTTTATGTGTTTTCTTGTTTGATATCTGTGTCCTCACACTAGCAAGTAAGCTCCATGGGGACAGGGGGGACATTGTCTTTCGAGTCCCTGAAGCTTGCGCATACCTAGCACAGGGCAAGCACCTGTATCTACTTAGTAGATGAATGGATACGGTTCTGCCAGCGAAGTGTTCATGGAGGAGAGGGGGCTTGGGGGGGGTGTCTTTGGAGCAAGCAAAGGAAGGAGTTTCAGGGTCCAAGAGAAGTGAATTTGAAATGAGGAAAAGGAGCTGGAGCAGTGAGGAGGGAGGGAACAAGGTGGACAGATAGAATTGAGGGATTCGGGGACCCAGGCATGATCTGGAGCAGGTCTCTGAGACCAAGGCTCAGGCACAGGAGCCCTGGCACATGATAGGTCCTACATGACCAGAACCAGCACACAGTAGTGCCTCCATGGCCTGAACAGGCACACAGTGGGTCCTTCATGACCCAAACAGGTACATAGTGGGGGGTCCTTCCTGGCCCGAAAAGGCACATAGTAGGTCCTTCATGGCCTGAACCACACACAGTAAGGCCTTCATGGCCCGAACAGGCACACAGTGGGTCCTTCATGACCCAAACAGGCACATAGTAGGTCCTTCATGGCCTGAACAGGCACATGGTGGATCCTTCATAGCCTGAACCATAGGAAGTGGTCACCTTCCCTGGGCACAGGCAGGCCCCTGCCCCAGGCTGGCTCTCAGCAGGTGGCACCTAGACCAGAACACCAGGGACAGGGAGATGGGGATGACCAAAGACTCCCAGGCATCGTGGTGTAAGGATGGAGATGCTGGCTGCCAAGTGAGGAAGAGAAGTGGCAACAGCACTCTAAATCACCTATAAGTCTGATGAACAAGCCTGGCCCTTTAGAGGAGGAAGGGAAAAGTTAACTCCTAGTGCACAAGGCCTTGGAAGCTTCCATTCAGCTCCAGTCTATCACAGAGAGGACATCTGAGGTCTGAAAACCAACACAGGCCTCTGTTCCGCACACCAGGGAGGGGTATTCGGGCCACACTTTGGCCAGCAGGGGATGCAAGCTGTCCTGCTGGGCAGCCCATGCTGCCAGCCAAGGGACGCATCTACAAACTTGACCAGCAGACAGGGAGAAACATGGTATGCTGTTCTTATTTTGTAGTCAGCAATAATTAGGAAGCACCTCAGTTTGCCAGACCTCTGTCAGGGCAGTCGCGTACCCGCTGTGGTTGAGTCCATGCAGCTCTCCTAACAGGCAGAAGTCCTAGGTTGTTTTTACAGCTGAGCACCCTGAGGCTCTCAGAAGGACTCCCGTCGGGCCACCTGCACAGCAGATGGGGGCATATTGCAAACCGCTATCTCTTGTCATTCCAGAAAACTCCACAGCCAGTGTGAGCGAGGCAGAAAGGAAGGCCCAGGTATATTACCGCGCATGTATGAATGAAACCAGGATCGAGGAGCTCAAGGCCAAGCCCCTGATGGAGCTAATTGAGAAGGTGAGTTCCTGGAGCAGCCTTTCCTGGATCTCCTCTGGCTGCCACCCCAGCTGTCAGGTGTCACTGGGTCTGCCTACCTCACACCCCAGCCACCTCACCCAGCTGGATTATAGAACCGGTCAGGGCTGAGTGTGTCTGAGTGTGTGTATGTGTGTGTGTGTGTTTGTGCTCCTGTGTATGCATGCGTCTCTATGGGTGGGAATGTCTGTACATGGGGGCGTATGTGTCAGCATCGTTGTGGATGTGTGTGCACATCCGTTGTGCACATGTATGTGCATCACTGTGCATCTGCATGTGGGATGGGGCCATATTTACAGAGAAAATGTTTCTGAGGACTCCTGGGTGGCTCAGTGGTAGAGCGTCTGCCTTGGGCTCAGGTCGTGATCCTGGGGTCCTGCGATCGAGTCCTGCATCGGGCTCCCCACGGGAAGCCTGCTTCTCCCTCTGCCTGTGTCTCTGCCTCTCTCTGTGTGTCTCTCATGAATAAATAAATAAAACCTTTAAAAAAAAAAAAAGAAAAAAATGTTTCTCTACCTTGCTGCTTCCTTTTCCTCCGAGGGCATGTCTATGTGTGAGGAGGGCTATGTTCCAGAAGGACCAACAGAGAGTCTTGTATCAGAAGCAGAATAGCCCCTGCGTGAGGAGGGCCCACATACCCCAGGCCTCCTCATCCTCCTGCAGAGGAAGAGCCATTCTTGCTGAGCATCTCCCAGTCAGCCTTGTATGGGCTCTTGGGGGCTGCCCACGGCTGGCCAGGGTGCCTGACGCCCACAGAGGGTGGCCATGGGTGTTTTCTGGCTGTTCCAGGTTCCCCCAATGCCCTGCCTTGTAGCTCGGCTCTGGGAAGGCATTACAGCAAGGTCGAGAGCTGTGGGCACCGGGGATTGGACAGTCCTCCCCTCCCAGAGCGTGCCAAGCCAAGGAGACCAAGGAGATTACAGAGGCTCTGCAGTGCCTGGCTGGCTCAGCTGGTAGAGCATGCAACTGTTGATCTCGGGGTCGTGAGTTTGAGCCCCATGTTGAGCATGGAGCCTGCTTGAAAAAAAGAATCCCTGCTCTGAGAGAAACTAGACCCCACTGCTTTATCAACCTTTTATTTATTTATTTTTTTTAAGATTTTGTTTGACAGAGAGCACAAGCAGGGTGAGCAGCAAAGGCGAAGGGAGAAGCAGGCTCTCTGTGGGGAGCCTGATGTAGGACTTGATCCCAGGACCCTGAGATCATGACCTGAGCCGAGGGCAGCCATTTAACCCACTGAGCCACCCAGGCGCCCCTTTATCAACCTTTTCAAAAACTATGGAGCCTTTCTTCCCCATAAGCACAATTGAATTTATGCATTAGTAGAAATTATATCACATGATTCAGAATCCAAAAAATGAAGAGGGTATGAGAAAAGTCTCCTTCCCATCCCCATCACATCCTTGAGAGAGCAGCTGCCCCATGGATTCATGGCTGGCTTGCTCGGATAAGTCTCACTCCATGCGTGTCTCCTGTTTGCTGGTCAGAAACTCTGATGAAGACCATCCCGGGATCCGGGATCAAGTCCCATATCGGGCTCCTTGCAGGAAGCCAGCTTCTCCCTCTGCCTGTGTCTCTGCGCCTCTCTCTCTCTCTCTCTCTCTCTCTGTCTCTCATGAATAAATAAATAAAAGTCTTAAAAAAAAAAAAAAGACCATCCCTTTCATCTGCTCTTGAGGCTCAGAGAGGTCAGATGACCGCTCCAGGGTCACAGAGCAGGTTAGCAGCCAGAGCAGAATTCACACCCGAGTCTCCCTGCCACCTCTTCACCTCCCGTTCCCTCTCCCTCCCCACAGCTAGGGGGCTGGAACATCACAGGTCCCTGGGACAAAGACAACTTCCAGGACACTCTGCAGGTGGTCACCTCCCACTACCGCACCTCTCCCTTCTTCTCTGTCTACGTCAGTGCCGACTCCAAAAATTCCAACAGCAACGTGATCCAGGTGAGCTGGCCCGGAACCCTAGGAAGAGGAGTGGGCATGTTTAGCGTTTAACCTCATGACCTGTTTTGAGTTTTGCAAGTGGCAGAGTAGAGGCAACTGGCTTCTGGTTTCTGAGCCTGGATTATTTCTGGAGGCTCTGAACCATGAGATTTGTACAGGTAAGAAGTCATGAAAGAGTAGGCTGCCATTCTTGAGGCAGATGAATCACCATGGCACAGTTGAATCTCTGGGATTCTCATTGGTCACTGTGGATGTCAAGTCCTAGGCACAGCTAAAGCCACCTCCTGGCCCCCTAGCCTCAGCCTCCGTCCTTTGTGGCTCTGCTTAGAATGGCTTTGAGTCCATCTCTTCCTGGCGGAGCCTGCCCTAGACTTTGTATCAGCGCAGCCAGGGCAGCCCCTGCTCTGCCCACCCTCGGGTGCAGAAGCAAGGAGCCCAGGGTGAGCTGAAATCCCCACCTAGCTCCTTCTCTCACCCATTGTGTGACCTCCGGCAAGTACTGCAACCTCTCTGCGCTGCAATGTCCTTATCAATCAAATGAACTGTAGTAACACCTGCTCTCCGGACATCAGGGTGTGGCCACAAGGCTCTGCTAGTTGCTGCCAGGAATTGACCCTCCCCTACCTCCCAGACCCTCTGCACATCCTCCCCTGGCAATCTCCCCTTGAATCCTCATTCCAGCTCTGAGGAGGAGATACTATTTCCCCTGTTTTCTAGAAGAACCTGAGGATCGGAAAGGTTCAATAACTTGACTAAGGCTCTGCAGGCGTGAGTGGCCCTTAACCACTGCACCTTCTTGGGAAGTATTTAGTTAAGTAGAAGCAGTGTGCCAAGCCTCAGAGGTGCTTAGTGGGGAGGGTGGCTCTGACCTTTCAGAAGGACCCAGAATCCCCATGTATGGGCAGGTATGCAGCCAGATGTGTGTCTGTCCCTGCCCTGGGTGGCGGACCCCAGAGGCAACCTCTGCTGCCAGCTTCTGCTCCTGCTGGGGCCCAGGCTGGCTCTGTGTTGCCATGTCCCCACTGTCCCCATGGCGGGCAGTGTACACGTGTGACAGTAGATCCCCTCTCACTCCGGCCTTTCTCTCCAGGTGGACCAGTCTGGTCTGGGCTTACCTTCAAGGGACTATTACCTGAACAAAACTGAAAATGAGAAGGTGAGTGTGCTTCAGAGAGAGTGGCTCTCAGCCCACACCCCACGACGTGTTACCACCATGGTGTCCCCTCAGTGTCCACACCTATGTGGGTCTTTGAGGCTGGAGTTGCATAGAGGTGACACCTGACGGGTTGTAGGTGGTCCCTGGCAGAGGAGGCTGGCTGTTTCACATTCAGGCATCACGGGCATAACAGGCAGGTATCCTTTGTCCCCACTCTAGAGTGAGACAGCAGTAATGGCCATGCCATGTGTGGCTGCCAGGCCTCTGGTCCTCCCAGTAACCCTGCAGGTACAGCATATCTCTGAACTTCATTCACCGCATCTGCCGCATGGGTATTATTTTTACCTTGCCTTTTACAGAGGAGAGAGCAAGGCTCAGAGACTCTAAGTGACCCACTCAAGGTCCATCCCACAGTGGTGAGGCTGAGATTCACTTCCAGACCCGCTAACTCTGAAACCCACACCTTGTCTGAGGTTCATCGTCTCTCTGTGCATTATCCAGCCCATCTGTACTGAGTAGCCACCTGCTAAGTGCCTGATGTTGGGGGGATAGTGGTGACTAAGGCAGTGGGTCCCCACCCCACAGGGCTTAGAGTCTGGCAGGGGAGGCAGATGTTAATTAACTAACCAGTTAGAGGCATAGTGACAAATTGTGATAGCTCGAGGGTGAGCTGAGGACGTTGAACACAGATCTGTAGACACGGTAGAGAAGGGCAGTGCAGAAAAAAATGTGTCTAAGAACTGGTCTGCTGGTAGCTTATATGTGACGAGCATTCAAGAGGGAGTGTGGCCCGGGAGCACAGGGACCCACCCGCCGAGGTCCTGTAGGTTTTGTCCTGAATGCCCTGAGCAGCCATGGAAGCAACGCAGGGCCAGAACCATCCCTGCAGTGGGTTGGCAGTGGTTTCCTGTGTGGGACTGGCTCTGTTCTGCCCACTACCCTTGTCCAGTGGGTGGTGGCACCGACTTACAGAGTGGGTGCCATCCTGCAGGTGCTGACAGGATACCTGAACTACATGGTCCAACTGGGCAAGCTGCTGGGTGGAGGGGATGAGGACGCCATCCGGCCCCAGATGCAGCAGATCCTGGACTTTGAGACGGCACTGGCCAACATCACCATCCCCCAGGAGAAGCGCCGGGATGAGGAGCTCATCTACCACAAAGTGACAGCTGCTGAGCTGCAGGTAATGTGAGCTCCGGTTGACATGGGGCCTGGGACAGGCACGGGGCTTTGGGACAGGGTGCTGGGCTGAGGAGGTTGTTACACCCACTTCATCAGATCCTCAGAACAACCCTATGAAGCAGGGATGATTATTGCCCCAATTCGCAGATAGAAAAACTGAGGCTCAAAGAGATTAAATTTCCTGCTGAGGGCCACACAGCTCTTCTGTGTCAGCATTGACCTCGGGAGGCTCTATGGTCATGATGATAATCCCACACCCTGATTGGCCATTTCCAATCTCAAGCCCCGGTCACATGGAGTCTGGTTTTCAGCAAACAATAGACCTGAGGAGTGGGTTCTGTAGCCACTTCTGCCTCCTTGTGTAATGGGGTTGCTCCCTGTCACTGGGTTCAACCCATCTGCAGAGTCAGCGGCCCCTCTGCCAAAGGCTGCTCCCTGGTGATTCCTTGGGACTTGCAGGTGGGGAGTTGAACTGATGGCCTGCCAGTTCCATCTTCTCAGTCCACTATGTGCTGGGGTCTGGTCTTATCCCAGGTCCTCAGTGGCTTCGGCCAATCTTCCTGTTTCCTGCCATTGCCTAGAATGCCTGGTGAGGCCTGCTTCCCCACTGGGAAGGACGGCCGGGCCCCTTGTGTTCCGCTTGTGTTGGGGTTCCCCCAAGATGTCTCCTCCCTCCTCTGCCTTGACCAGCCAGGTCCTGCCTATCCACTTGAGCTAGCTCATTTCCTCTCCTTTCAGGATGAACACCTAGGTCCTTGTCCATTTTTTTTCCCTCTGTTCCTCCCTCTGACAAGTATATATGGGGCCACCTTCGGGGCCTTGCTCTGGAGGTTCTTCCAGGCAAGGGAGGAACGCCAATGAGGAAACAATCCCAAACCCATTATTGAATGCTTTGGGCAAAAGAAGGATGGCACGAGGACAGGGATAGGGCAGGGGAGTCTGGTGAGTGGGTGAGCAGTAGCCAGGCCGGCCAGGTGTCCCAGGTAGAGGTGCAGCCCAGGCAAAGCTGAGGGTGAGGGCAAGAGAGGCTCTTCTGGGTGCCAGCTGCCCGATAGGTCCCCAGTAGTTGGCATCAGGGTGAGTGGCACTGCGTGGGTTGTTACGGAGATCAGCAGACTGCGTTGGCTACCATCTGGCACTGTTTTTCTGCTCTGAGGCCCAGAGGTCAAAGGAGATGCTGTTTGTACAGTGCAATTTGTCTTGTTCCAGCTGCCCACTTCTCAACGCAAGAAGGGCACTAGCAGCCTCCCAGCCCCCCATAGTGGCCATGATGCCAGCTGACTACCCCAAGAGTGGCAGAGAAGACGCAATAGCCCTGAGCACATCCACCCCAACCTGGCTTCCAGGTTCTACCCCGGGGTGGCCTGGGGCACATTACATTTGCTCTTTTCTTCCTCCCTCCCCATTTCAGAGCTGCCAGGGCTGGGGAATGTAGGGGAGGACTTTAGCAGAGGGACGAGCCCTGGGCTTGGGGTCAGAAGACTGGTCTGGCCCAGCTGCACTATGAGCTGTGTGACCCTGGGCAAGTCACAGGATCCCCTCCTTGCGCCTGGACTTCCTCCCTTGTAAAATGAGGACTTTGCTCACTCATGCACACCTGCTGTCTTCCAGAATGCAGAGACAAATGAGAGGCAGCCCCTGTCCCCATAAGGTGTGGTTCTTTAGCCACAGAGTTCTGTGAGAACAAGTTGAAAACTATGAAGTGTCTCCCAGAGGAACAGGGCATATGTGCATATAAAAAACATTATGTCTAACATATAAAGAGATTAAGTCCTGGGTCCGTGAAGCCTAGCATCCTCAAAAAGAATCTCTACTTGGGATTTCAATTTATAAGCTGACATGCACAATTCAAATGTATTATAGTAAAAGCAGTGACGCCAGCCCACGTCTCCAGCACAACCAATTTGATTCATTCCAGCCTTGGACAGAGAATATCTTGCTATTACTTGGTATCTGGAAATTTGGTTATTTTCCTGTACCCTAAGTGACTCTGGGGAAGTTGCAGCAGCCTTCACAGTATGGTTCCAGGCTAGCCCCACCATAGTACAGAGTGGTTCCAGGCTAGCCCCTAGCAGAGTCCGAATTCAGACCCGTGAATCAAACATCCTTCTATTGCTTCTCTCGAGGGGCCTGAGGACCTTCTCATTCCTTTCTTCCTTCTACATCAGAAGTTGTTTGGGAATAAGTCCTATTCTCTGCTCTAAATTCTCCAGCTAAGATAAAGTCTGATAGCATCTTTCTTTTCTCTTATTCGCAAGCCTACTTGAGCTGGTTGGTTGGAGACCAGCAGTACTCTCTGGCTGCAGGTCTGGAAAATAGAACTGACTGGTGGGCCCCAAAGGATTTGAATCACAAGTGAAATGTCCTCATCAGTTAAAACAGCCATCTCCATGGAGACCGTTCTAGACGCATACATGTCTAAGTTAGGCGTTCACTAAAGCAAGATTGAAAATGTGAAAATTCTGGTATTCAACACCCACCTCATCTGGGGTTATGGGAATTTACCTGCACAGAACACCTGCTCTCCCTAAAGAAACAGGCTTGTGTTAAGTACACAGGGATATGTCACCACCTGATGGCTGTACCCTAATTAGAATATTCTAGTTGCCTGCAGTTTGTGAAGCTCTCGTTAATTGTATAAACAGTGACATTTTGTAAACTTGATGAGTTTCCCAGGCATCTTTGCCAGCAGGTCATGCAGGCAGATGTCTCTAAGTGTTGAGCCCCATCTGACCATCTCACCTGGACACTCCCAGTTTGACAGCCACAGAAGCGTTATGGAGAAGCCCCAGAGGTTACCGACCCTAGGGGCTCCTGCCAGGAAGAGAGAACAAATGGACCAGCTAGGGAGAGAAGCATCTCAGGATTGATGAGCAAGCTATCCCCACGAGGTACAGAGCAGCCGACCATGGATGGTACGGGCAGGAAAATTGTCCTCGTTTCAGAGCAAGGCCACAGAAATGCCTCGAGGCCCCAGACCTGGTTCATGGTGGGGACTCTGATCCATGTCTTCTCACTCTGAAACTCACTCAGGTCATCTTGTTGCCGGGCAGGCCAGGATGTGTGAGAGCACACGGGGCACAGCTCTTCCCAACTACGTGGGTGGTTTGAGTAGATCATGGTGCAAATATGGAACCCGCACCCGGCCCCCCAAAAGCCAGCAGGCCACTACCTGTGGGAGCTGCCCTCTGAGGTCCTTGTTCCCCAGCAGCTGAGCTACGCTTTGAAACCGGAGAGACAAGTGAGCCTGGATTTTAGATGTGTATAGTCACTGGTTAACTATGTGACCTAAGGAAGGTCACCTTAGCTCATCTGCAAAGTCAGCATCTATTAAGTGGAGGGTTTTATGATTGCTCTCTCACTGAGGGCATCATAAGTATTTACCAACAGGTTACAAGTTCATCCGATATTATGGTTTGATTTTACACTATTGATCGATTTTACCATATGAAGGCCATTTGTAATGCATCTCTTACTTCCTTTGTCTTTTTCAAGAGAATAGAGAACAGAATCTGGAATCGCTCAAGCCCAGACCCACCCTTGGGAGACCTTGAGAATGGTCACAATAGCTAATATCGATTGAGGATTGAGTGGTTGTTACATACCAGGTATCATTCTAAGTGACTGACGCACAGAAACACTTTTGCTGTTTATTTTTTTATTTTTTATTTTTTTTATTCATGAGAGACGACACAGAGAGAGAAGCAGAGACACAGGCAGAGGGAGAAGCAGGCTCCATGCAGGGAGCCCTATGTGGGACTTGATCCCTTGATCTCCAGGATCACACCCTGGGCTGAAGGCGTCACTAAACCGCTGAGCCACCAGGGCTGCCCCACTTTTGCTGTTTAAACCAGTATATGTATAGTGCTGGAAAACACTGCATTCTGGAAAAATCACAGAATAAAAAAATTAACTAAAAATAACAAGACATATGGGAAAAATAGAACTTAGAGCCAGTCGCCTGCAGTTTCTGAAGCTCTCATTAATTGTATAAACGATTACAATTAGATTCAAAAGTTGTGCAACTTTAAGGACTTTATGCTGAGTGAAATAAGCCACTCACAAAAAGACAAGTACTGTATGGTTCCACTTATATGAGGTAGCTAGACCCATCAAATTCAGAGAGACAAAAAGGAGAATAATGGTTACTGGGAGCTCGGGGGATAGAGCTGGAGGGATTATTGTTTAATAGGTATAAAGTTTCTGTTTTGCAAGACGAAATCTGGAGACAGATGGTGGTGATGGTTGCACAACAGTGTGAACATCCTTAATGCCACTGAACTTGGCACCTAAACATGGTTAAGATGGTACATTGTATGTCTGTGTGTTTTACAACAATTAAACCCAAAAGTTGTGCAGGTTTGTAATCAAAGCAATAATTGGAACCTGGAGAGAGAGCTCAGTGTGAGTGGAGAGGCTGCCTGGTGAGAAGTAGAAAATCTGGCTGTGGACATAGCAACCCTGCAGATGGACCAGCCCTGGGCGGTGGGGCCAGCATTAGGTGAGCCAAGAGCAAGCTGGCCGTTTGTAGTGGCCAGTTATTCCAAGCCGGCCAGGGCCTCTTTGGGGAGGAAGCTCCGGTACAGATGCTCATTTTAAAATATCTTAAAATAGAGCTGACCAGGGACACCTAGCTGGCTCAGTCAGTCAAGCGTCCAACTCTTGGTTTCAGCTCAGGTCATGATCTCAGGGTCATGAGATCGAGCCCCACATTGGGCTTCCTGCTCAGCACAGAGTCTGCTTAGGATTCTCTCTCTACTCCTTTCTCTGCCCCTCCTCCAAATAAATAAATAAAGTAAGTAAGTAAGTAAGTAAGTAAGTAACTAAGTAAATAGAATCTTATTTTAAAAAATGGAGCTGACCAGCCCAGCTTCCTTTGCATCAGCTGAGCTAAGGGCCTTACCTCCCTTGCTGAAGTTGTCCTTCTGAGTTGCTTTCTCCATGCCTGAGAAAAATCACCTGTGGACCCAAGCGCTTACCCTTGATACCACTATCATTCTTGAGTTTACCGGTCGTATAGACTAATCCCATAGAAGCTAATTGGTATTACAGAAGCACGTGTTGAGTAGAACAGACAGTTCTTTTATGATGAGGAGACCACTTTTCAGATGAGACCCCAAAGCATGGAGAGATTCATCCACTAACTCAAGGTTACACAGCTAGCAAGTAAGAGAGATGGAATATGAGCCCAGGCAGTTTGGCTCCGGATACTACACTGTTTTCCATTACAGGCCTGTCTGGGCTCAGTCTCATCGTCAATAAAATGGGGATTATGGTCCCTACCACGTAGGCCTGTCCTGAGGTCCAGCAGAGAGAAGTCCTGTGAGTCGTGTGCAGGGGCGCCTGGCATAGGGGGGGCTTGCCGCTCTCCCCGTGTCCCCTTTGTTCCATCCCATCTCCACTGCAAGTTGAAGTCAGAATTCTGTCTACAGCATCTCTGATGGAAGCCAGCCAGCCTCGGCTTGACGTCTGCCCAGTGCACTGCCCAGGCCTGGTTCTTTGGAGGCCCGGTGCCACCTACTTGAGAAAAGCTCCCTGGAGGCCCTGACGCGAAGCAGCCCAGCTGGAGTCACACTGTCTCTTCCCTTCCAGGCCTTGGCACCTGCCATCGACTGGCTGCCCTTTCTCAATACCATCTTCTACCCCGTGGAGATCAATGAGTCTGAGCCTATCGTTGTCTACGACAAGGAGTACCTGGGGCAGGTCTCCACCCTCATCAACAACACTGACAAATGGTAAGGGACGGCCAGAGGCCTGGCACCTGCACTTGGGGTCACACACGGCCCTATCCTTCTTGGGCCAGACAGGGTGAGGGCAGCCGGGGACAGAATGACTAGGGAGAGTGGGCCCTGGGAGAGGCAGCCGGTTCGGATCCCAGACCCTCCGTTCCCAGAGCTGTAGCCTTGGGCAAGTTTATCCCCCTTTGTCAGGCTCATGCTATCTGTCCTTCCAGAAGGGGATGGAAATCTACCTACCATGTAGGGATATGAGAACACAGTGAGAGAATGACAGGGAATGGAGCTCAGTAAATGTTGTAGGTGATATGTATGATTTTTTAAATAATTCTAAAGATTTGTTGGGGAGGTTTTTAAAAACACAGAAAAAAATTAAGATTACCCAGACACTACTGTTGATGCTGTGGGGAGCATATGTGTGTGTTTGTAAAGAGAGAAAGTGTGTGTGGGGGGTCCTAATACATGGTTCCTTTCGCCCCCGTCATTGTGACCACATGTGTAATCTGCTTTTCCCTCAACTTTCATCATAACATTTTCCCCATGTTATCCGCACTCCCTGTGGACCTCATTCTGCGTAGCTATGCAGTAGTCCATCAAGTATACGTATGATTATTTACTCCTTCCCCTATTGTCAGACATTTATTTTTTTAAAGATTTTATTTATTTATTCATGAGACACACACACACACACACAGAGGCAGAGGCAGAGGCAGAGGGAGAAGCAGGCCCCATGCAGGGAGCCCGATGTGGGACTCCATCCCAGGTCTCCAGGATCACACCCCGGGCTGAAGGCGGTGCTAAACCGCTGAGCCATCGGGGCTGCCCTATTGTCAGACATTTAGTTGGTTCCACTTCGAGGCTAATTGACAACAGTGAACGTCTCTTGGTGCTAAGGTGACTTCTTTGCAAGGGTGACAACAGCCACAGTGATTCCCTGTGCCCTGATGGAGAGGGCAGTGAGCTCTCTTCCTTGGAGACCTTGGCATGGTGGCCAGAGCTCCCTTTCCTGCCCCTCCTATTCTTAGGCCCCCTTTCCCATCTCTGGCCTTCTGGCAGGGACATCTCCAGGCTGTGGAAATGGCAGCCTCCTCCCTGCTCCAGCCCACTAGGACACCCCATCCAGGGGGAGTCTCCCTGAGGCTGCTCCAGGGCTTCTAGACAAAAGGCAGCTATGCGACAAATGTTTATTGAGGTCTTGTGGCGTACAAGTCACTGCACTAGGCGCCAAGGGGTTTTCAAAGAAGACCCAGGCTCCACCTTGAAAAGCTAACATTCCAGGGATGCCTGGGTGGCTTAGTGGTTGAGTGTTTGCCTTTGACTCAGGTCATGATCCCGGAGTTCTGGGATCGAGTCCCGAATCAGGCTCCCTATGGGGAGCCTGCTTCTCCCTCTGCCTATGTCTCTGCCTCTCTGTGTGCATGTCTCATGAATAAATAAATTGAAAAGAAAAGAAAAGCTGACATTCCCTGTGCTTAGTGAGCAGTAACCCACCAAACTGGGGCGGGGGGGGGGGGGGCAGAGAGCCTGCCATCCGAAGGCCAGGTGTGAGCGCCCCCTAAAGGTCAGTGGGGGAAGTGCTGTGATGCTCCCAGCTTGGGGTGCTTCTGAGTTGTCTCACCTCCTCTTGCCCCAGCCTGCTAAACAACTACATGATCTGGAACCTGGTGCGGAAGACAAGTTCCTTCCTTGATCAGCGCTTTCAGGACGCTGATGAGAAGTTCATGGAAGTCATGTATGGGACCAAGAAGGTGAGCCTCTTACTGCACATTCCCATTCACATGCTGAGCACCTACTGTGAGCCTGGCCCTGGGTTGGAGGCTTTTGCAACCTTGGTGTCCCCCCAGGGCCCTGGAAACTTGTAAGGGAGGTAGAGGGTAGGCAAAGAATCTGAAGGGATCCACTTGGATGTCCCTGGGCACACAGGACTGGATCCAATCTAGTTGGGGGTGGACAGAAACTTCCAGAAGGAGATGATTACACTGGGTCTCTAATGAGTAAAGAGGAGTCTTAGTTACCTGGCTGGCTCAGTAGGAAGAGCATGCGACTCTTGATCATGAGTTCGAGCCCCAAGTTGGTTGCAGAGATTACTTCAATTTTAAAAACTTTTTTAAAAAAGAGGAATCTTAGAGATTTACCTTCTTTACAGCAAAAGATGGCTTCTATTTTCTCCCAATCGCTTCTCAATGGTAACAATTTCCTGTAACTCCTATGATCTTGTAACTGAAACTTTCCTGTAACTCCTATCCCTGTGAGGTGGGTGTGATCATCATCCCTGTTTTATATAGGGGACCCCCAGTAATATTGCTCCTTCCCCATAAACACAAAACAGTCAGTATGGCACCTGGATCCTAATCAGACCACACAGGTGTTCACTGCTATTACCTTCCTAGGCCCCAGAACAGGTGGATTCCACCTACCTTCAAATGCCCCCATCATGCCCCCTGAGGGTCTGTTCTTCCAGGGTTCCCAGGGCTCCAGGACCCCTCATTCCCCCCCCCCCACAGGACTCCACCCCAGACAGGAAGCTCCCTGGCCACTTCCACTTTTTCTCCAGAGGTGGCAGTCCCCCTCTCATTCATGCAGCCAATAGACAGGACATGAGTCCCATGTGGGAACACTGAGACAAGTAAGGTGGGGTCTGTGCCCCAAGAGCCCACATCTGCCAGAAGAGACCCTCCTATGTGCTGATGGGCACAGCATGTCTGGGCCCAGGGAAATGTCCCAGCTAAAGAGCAGTAGAGGCCAGGGTGCTGAGCCCACCCAGCACACTCAGCAACCCCCCCACCCTAGGACAGCTGCTAGCAAGACCCTGAGGGACAAGCAGAGCTGGCTCTAGCCTGCCCCTGCCCCCGTGGCCCTTCCCAGAGTTCAGTGGAATGGACAAAGCCAGATAAGGGCTGGAAGAGAATGACAGGATATGGACTCTTCCCTCCAGTCCTGGAGTTCATCCTGGAAAGAGTTCTCCTTTTCTTTCTTATCCTGATGTACACCCACCTGTGGCAGGAAGGGAACTAAAGGAGAGGGTGGCTGGGGATAAGAGAGCCTTCTGAGGGCATCACGGGGCCTCAGCCATGAGAGTCACCTGGCCCTGCGGAGAAGGACCAGGGGAAGAGTTGGCTGTCCTGCTCAGTTGACCTGCCTTCCTGCTCCACATGCACCTACCTTGGGCCAGCCATGGGTGAGCCCATGTCACAGACATGACAAGGCATGGACTCTGTCTGCTGGACCATTTAGCCTCCCAGGGGACTATAACGGGAAAAGTTTGACTAGGACCCAGGATGATAGTTACAGAGACACCTCTGTGGAGCATGCACCTGCATCATTGCTCACCCACCTGAGTGCAGAGGGAGAAACAGGCTCCAGGCAGGGAAGGGCTTCCCAGGGCACCCAGCAAGAAGGCAGCCAAGCTCATATTCAGACCCAGCTCTGGATGACCATGACTGCTTGGCTCTTTCAGCCACTCAATAATGATAATAATGGTAATAATAATAAAAGATATTATTATTCACTGTCTGCCTTTTATAGGCATTATGTCACCAAGTTCCTATAACAGCTCTACATTAGGAGCTATTATCATCAGCCCATTTTATAGATGAAGAAACCTAGGCTCTGTGAGTGGAAGGGACTTGTTCATAGTCACACAGCGCATAAATGGGGAATGTGTTCTCAATCCCAGCACATCTGATTCCACAGCCACACCTGAGCCCTGCCCCACTCAGCCTGTGCTCTGCAGGAGCCAGAAGTGAAAATTGAGCTTCCTGGTGGTTGCCAGGGGCTGGGGACAGGGAGGGGGGGCATGAGGAGTTGTTAAATGCATATGGAGGTTCACATTTGCAAGATGAAAAGTTCTGGAGATTGGTTGCACAGCAGTGAGAATTTGCCTAACATCACTGACTCATACACTTAAAGGGTTAGAATGGTGGTAAATCTTACGTGTATTTTACCATGATAGGTAGGTAGACAGACAGACAGACAGACAGAGCGAGCAAGCGAGCTTCCCTGGGCCAGGCCCAGAGTGCGGGGTGCTGCTCTAACCAGTGGGATGCTAAGAGCTGGCAGGGAGGCCTTGGCAGAAGCAAGGGCAATTGGGAGACCCCAGAGGTGGCAGGCTGTGGGCAGGGTCACCGTATGCCCCGCACGTGGTGTAAGGAAACAGCACAGAACTTTGGGTCAGAAGATCTGTGTTTGAAATGCTTCTTCTAACCACACAACCTCGGGCAAATCACTTCATTGGAGCAGAGGGCTCAGTCTTTCCAGATGTAAAAAAGCAGTAACTCATCCTTGGCCTGGTGACCAGGGGGCTGTCTGGGAATTACTTAAAGGGACCCCCCCCAAAGTCTATCCTAAAGGCTAAAGCACCCACCGCCATGTTCTTTATCTGCAAAAAGGAGCACAGGGGGTACCTGCCTCGTGCGGTTATCATGAGGATCATATGGGCTAGGGCCACACCCAGTAAACACTCAGCAAGCATGTACTGCTGCAGCCTTGCTGTTTTGGGGTGTCTTTCTCTCTTACTGGGTGCTTTCGATTGAGCCCCTTGAGGGCAAGGCCCATGGCCAATTTGTCTCTAGGTTCCAAGCACATAGCCATAGTCAGGGTGCAGAGGAACTGTCCAGAAGACGCAGGGTATATGAAAGAATGAATGAATGAATGAGTGAGCGAGTGAGTGAGTGGGCTCATGCAAAAGCTCTCCTGAGAAGGCAGGAAGACTCAGCTCCTGACTTAGCCATCACGGCCTAGAGCCCCACGGAGCCAATGAGTTCGAGGTCCCCTGGTCCTGACCTCCTGCGTGGGCAGCCTCAGCCGGGTGTGGGCGCAGCCTGTGTCCAGCTGTAGGTGGGCAGGTTGTGGGAAGGCATCTAAATGGACACATGGGTGGGGGGAAAGCTTGAAAGAACTTGGGCCTCCAAACAGAAGGAAGGCCGAGATGCCCCTTTACGTCCTTCCCTTGGTCCTGCTTTCACGGAAGACATTTCTTTAGCTGAGGTATAATTTACACACATAAAATGTGCAGTATACACTAAGTACTCAGTCCAGTGAGTTTGGACAAAGGAAATGGCCCACAAAACCCACACCCCACTCAAGGTAGAGACACTCCTGTCACCGGTCCCTCCAGCATCCTGGGAGCAGAAGGTTCCCTGAAGCCCCTAGCCCGATGGTCCCACAGGTGGGTGTGGATGGGCATGGGGGGATTGTACCCCCCCTCGTGTGCTCTTTTGTGTCTGGCTTCTTGTGCTCAGCTCACAGCTGTGAAATTCAGCCATGTTGTGTATATCAGTAGTTCACTCCTTCTTGTTGCCAAGTAGTATGCTGTTGTATAAAAATACCACATTTTGTTTATCCGGCTGCCTGTTGATGGGCATTTGGTTGTTGTCAGTTGGAAAACTGTTCTGGAGCCGGCCACCCTGAGCCTGGTGATTTATGCCACCTGTTCTTTGGGGTCAGGAGGCCACACAAGGGATTTACGGATTGACGGGAGCAGGGCCACCCCAGGTGGTCACACAGGGCTTGCCCAGGGCAGGGAAGCCAGCGGGCCGGAACCTGGAGCCACACTGCATGAGGCTGCTCCCAGCAGGGCGCCCGCTTCTGGCTCCGCAGAGGTGTCCTGTGGGCTGGCGGGCTTGTGGGCGACACTGCGAGTGGCCACGACACCAATGCCCTGACACATTCCTGCGCCAGCCCTTCCCCTAGGAGGCTTTCCATGGGGTTGGGTTCTGGCCTTCTGGGGAGGTTTTCCTGTCGTGTGTGGGTAGATGAGGAAATTTCTCAAGTCTTGGCCACCAGGATTCTTAGCCTCCCCCAGGGGAAGGTAGGGGTAGGGGCATGGGGTGTACGGTCAGGCCTTTCAGCCCCCCTCACTCCCCGTGGGACCCTGGGCCGGTGACTTCCCCTTGCTGAGTCTCTGCCTCCTCAGCTGGCAAGGCCCACATCCCTGCCTTCCAGGTTCATTTTCATGGCTCGGTGAGACACTGTTCATGACATGCCACGCACAGAGCCTGGCGTTCAGGAAATAGTAGATGGCGGCCATGAGCAATATTCTGTGGCCTCTTGGTCCAGTGCCTAAAATAACTTCCACTGCATCAGAAAAGTCTCCCTGAGGTTCTGGAAGGAAGCACAGGCTTCCAGCTGCTGCCTCCCAGACAGACGGGGCTTAGGAAGAAGGATGGGGCCTGGTAACTCCTCTCCCTTGTGTTTCCAGACCTGTCTTCCTCGGTGGAAGTTCTGCGTGAGCGACACAGAGAACAACTTGGGCTTCGCCCTGGGCCCCATGTTTGTCAAAGCGACATTTGCCGAGGACAGCAAGAGCATAGTGAGTGCCTCCCCTCGCACACAGGCCGTGACGGCGCCCCTGCTCCAGCCCCTCCTGAGCTTGGCAGCCCCCACTCTGCTCTACCCTGGACCTTTCCTGCTCTGGGCCAGGGCCCCAGCCTTAACCCAGAGGTCCTGTTTTCTGAAGCCTTGAGTGCTGTGAGTTCCCCAGGATGGCTACTGTCATTGAGTGCCGGGCACTCTACTGTATTGTCATTAACCCGTTGCGAGGCTGTCTCCACCTCCACTCCCAAGCAGAAGGAAGGGCCCAGCGAGACCCTGTTGGCAGAGCAGTTCTGGCCTAAAGGGTGACGTTTCTCTTACCCTGTGGGGTAACCCCGTGTTCTGGACAGGCGGAGGAACATCACGGCTAGGTGCGTGAAGGCAGCCGGGCCCCAGTTCAGATCCTGGATCCGTTGCCTCCTGGTTGGGTGATTTGGGACAGTTTTCTCCCATCACCGTTACCTCGGAAGCAGGGCTGCCCATCCCGCAGTGGGACGGGAAATGAGATGCTACACACAGAGAACACCCGGCACAAAACAAGGGCTTGGTAAATGGCAGCTGTTATATTTTTGTTCCAGTTTTTATTACTGATTTTAATTACATAGATGCTCTCTGCAGTCAAATGTTAACAAACAGAGACTCCTTTTTCTTACTTGACTTACCTGTGAGTGGCTGGTATGGAATCTTTGTCCAGTTCTGTCGGCCATCAGCCCCTCTGCTCTTTGTGCTGCGCGACTTCCTTACTCTGCTGTACAACCTTCGGGCTCCGAGTCTGCCTGTGACATCATAACCCTCGAGAACAGCTGCTCGTCTCCAGCCGGAGCACCACATTTATGAAACTGCTTATCAGAACTCTGGTGCTCTAGATTTTAAAGCCCATTCCATCAAAAAGAGATCCTGTGGTCCAGTAAATCTGACAAGGCTCTGAACTTTACTCCCTCCAAAAGAATCAAACTTCATGTTACACACTAAAGGCTCTGAAAAGTTCTGCAGAGAGACTTTTTCAGCTTTCCCAAAGCTTATCCTGAGTGTCTGTGGTGCCAAAAGCTCTGTTTATGGAAGTTCCAATCTTCTCTTGTAGGACTTTAGTGTTCTGGGCACTGAAGAGCCTGAGGCTTTGAGCTGATTTCTGAATTTAGGCTCTGGCCTCCTCCTGCATGGGGTGCGCATCCAGTGCCCAGACCTCACCAGTCAGCTTCTGTCTTCTCAGGCCAGCGAGATAATCCTAGAGATCAAGAAGGCATTCGAGGAAAGCCTGAGCACCCTGAAGTGGATGGATGAAGAGACTCGGAGATCAGCCAAGGAAAAGGTGAGGCTGGCGCGGTGCTGTAAGGGGTGCCTGAGGCTTCCCCTCCAAGAGCTGCAGCCACGGATGGAGGAGGGTGCATGAAGGGAGACCAGTCACATCTGGTGAGCACAGCGTTGGTGCTGTCCTGCCTTCGGGGGTGAACATTCCAGCAGGAAGGAGGGTCAGCCGTGAACACATGATTGCATTAATGACTAAAGATAAACTGTGGTGAGTGAGTGATAGGAAAAATGCAAGGAGATGTGACATGTCTAACGGAGAATGAAGGATTTGATATAGTCCAGCGGGCGGCAGCCAGGAAAGGCTTCCCTCAGGAAGTGATGTTTAAGCAGAGACCCGAAGGGTAAGCAGAAGTCAGGCAAGAGAGGAATCTTTCCAGAAAGAGATGTGGAAGCCCATGGTGGGAGGACCTTCCCGTTTCCCTTTGGCCCAGAGCACTGCTGGGTGCTCAACATCCTCTGTATCTCTCCTATCCAGGCAGACGCTATCTACAACATGATAGGCTACCCCAACTTTATCATGGATCCCAAGGAGCTCGACAAAGTGTTCAATGATGTGAGTGGCTCCCACCCTGCCCCCTTGCATTCCCGCATGTCCCTGGAGGTCCCCCACTTGGGGAAGAACAGAGGCAGGCGGGTCCAGCTGGGAAGCTAGAGGTACTTTGACCGTAAAGACATCTCAAGATGCGGTGGTGTGGGGCTGGATCAGGCAAGAGGGAGCTCTTCTCTGCCCCTCGTCTCCTGGGCTGGAGGAGCCTGCCTCTCTGGAGCCGCTGTCAGGGCCCAGCAGTCAGTACCAAGTAGTGCCATGTGCCCTGCCAGATGCTCCATTTAATGGGTGGGAAATAACAGAGGTGAGCAGACCTTAGAAGAGACAGACAGATTGACGCCCCTAAAACAGCAGGAGGTGGAGTGACAAGTGGAGCCCCTCATACTGCATCTTCCTTCTCCATCCCCAAGATTGCCTCCTCCTCTCCCCAGGGTCTTCCCCCACCCTCCCAGAGAAACCTGGACCTCATTTGGACCTTGAAATGCTAATGGGGAAGAGAGCATGAATCCCAAATGCACTGTTAAGCTTAATTGAGGCGGCAAACATACTTGATATATTCCTGGTGGTTAGAGCTTTTGGCAGGTCACCCCTGTAAATGGATTATGCTTCTGCCCTGAAAGATAGTTTTATATCTTCTTGTGATTGAAATTTGTGAAATTCAGGCATTTTTGCAATTATAATAACCTCTCATCATGGCTCTATTTAAAACCTAAGAATATTAAAATTACTTCTGAGAATATGGGCCTGACTCATTCCACAGCCTTTTTCCTTGAGAATAATTTAAGATGCTCCAGGGTGTCACGACACAAGATCCAGAGGCTCCTGGGGACAGCCCAGGCATAGCCCATAGGATCAGAGTCCTGTCCCCAAGGGCCCAGCATTTTACCAGAGCCCTGATGAGAAGCCAGAAAGCTCTGGAGCAGATCCGAGGGAGAACTTTGTCCCTGAAAAGAGCCAAAAGGCTGAGCTGAGTGCTGAGGAAAGCTTGCAGTGATGCCTGTCCCCTGATGTTTCAGAGATGGATCCCAGCTTGATTCGTGTGCTATGCAGTGTCGTAGCTCCTAGCCACTGCTGTTTAATTAATTAAAATCTAAGTTAATTAAAATTTAATTTAATTTAAAAGTCACACTAGCCCCATTTGAAATGCTCGGTAGCCACGTATGGCTGGTGTCTACCACAGTGGATAACACAGGCTTAGAACTAGCCCATCATCACAGAAAGTTCTATCGGACAGAGCTGGACAGACCTCCTGCCTAAGGCTCGGGCTCTGAGGTGGGCCTGTGACCCTGCTGGGTGATGAGTGGCCCCCGTGAAGCTCTTGGTGTGTCCCCACATGGGAGAAGGTGCCAGGCCCCAGCAGGGTCAGGGCCGAGGTGAGAACCCGAGCCCTCCGTCCAAGCTTCTGACCTGGGGACCAATCCCCTAACCCCATGGGGTGTCAGCTTCCCTGGGTTTAGAAGGAGGGGTTTGGCTTTGAGTTGCCGAGGCCCTTCCATCCGGGCACGCTCTGATCCTGTGACTCTGCTTCCTCTCCAGTACACTGCAGTGCCCGACCTCTACTTCGAAAACGCCATGCGGTTTTTTAACTTCTCCTGGAGGGTCACTGCCGACCAGCTCAGGAAAGCTCCCAACAGAGACCAGTGAGTCCCTGGGCCTGGCTGGGAGGGTGTTGGCTCCCAGCACACAGGGGCGCTCTGGGCAGAGCCTACGTTTGTCACATATGCACCGTGTGCCAGACATGTAACTGTCAGAAGTGCCATGTGAGGAGTGGGTACCGTTGGTTTCCCACTCTTCAGATGAGGAAGCCATGGGCTGAGGAAGTGTGCCTGGCTAGGAGCTGGGACCTGCCCGGAGCTGTGTGCCCCCTCAGCACCCAGCCTGTTGGAGGAGTAGCCTGGCCTCATGCCCCTGGCTCCACCACTTCAGTGTTGGGAGCCTCTGCCTCAATTATCTGCAGATAAGATGGAAGGAGCCATGTGACAGTCAAGTATGACTGGGCAGTGTCTGGCACAGAGGAGGCCCTCAGCTAGGAAGGGAAGATTCCAAATGGGCTCCCGACAGCTGTGCGTCCCAAACCTCACTGCACATCAGGACCCTCAAGGGAGGGTCTTTTTTATTTTTTTAAGATTATATATTTATTTGAGCGAGAGAACAAGTGGGAGAGGCAGAGGGAGAGAGAATCTCAAGCAGACTCTGTACTGACCATGGAGACCTCACGGGGGCTCCATCCCACAGATCCCACAACTCTGATTCCTGACCCAAGCCAAAACCAAGAGTTGAAGGCTCATTTACTTGACCCAGGTGCCCCCTGGGGGAAGTTTTTTGAAATACAGCTTCCTCCTGGTCCTCAAAGTTTCTTAAAATAATCTGGAATGAGCCCTGGTGTCTGTCTTTTTTTTTTTTTTTTTCTTTTTGAGCAGTCTCCTTGGAAAACTCATATTGTGAGCCGAGCTGTAGCTCTCAAAATAAGCTCTCTGCACGGCTAAAACATTTTGCAGAATAAATCTTACCCCAAGATGGAAGCAACTTCTCTTTGCTTCTTGCTCCCCCTCGTGGCCAATGGGGGGTTTGACCATCTCTGTTTTAAGATCCTGTCTTCCTATCAAGGAACCCCCTCCCCCAAATGTGCGGGAAGTGTTTTTTTTATATCCAGAATCTGGCACAGGTACTGCCACAAGGTTCTGAATTTATCTGAAGTCTTTTAATTTAGCTTAAACTTTTTCATTTAAATTCTGCTTCCTGGGATCACCTGCGTGGCTCAGTCGGGTCTGCCTTCGGCTCAAGTCATGATCTTGGGGTCCTGGGATCCAGCCCTGGGTTATCTCAGGGTCCTGGGATTGAACCCAATGTCAGCATAGGGGCTCCCTGCTCAGCAGGGAATCTGCTTATCCCTCTGCCTCTCCCCTTTCCCCTGCTTATGTTCATTCTCTCTCTCTCTATCTCTCTCTCTCAAATAAATAAAAATCTTTTTTAAAATAAAAAATAAATTCTGCCTCCTGCCCATTAATGTAGTCATGATTATTTGAATATAAATATGATGTTTTCGATTTCTATTTTCCCATGGCTTCAGGTACCCCACAACATGTCTCTGTGGGGCTCACCCAGAGGAGACAGTGACTAAGCGCTTAGAAAAAACATCCTTTCTGTCTCGCTCCTCTCCTCACTGGCCTTCCCCTCTACAACAGAAAGAAATATCGAGTGGACAAATGTTTCTACCATCAGGATCCCTTCAACATTCTTTATTATTTTATTTTATTTTTATTTTATTTATTTAACTAATCTTTGCATTCAATGTGGGGCTTGAACTCACAACCCTAAGTTCAAGAGTCACATGCTCTTCCAACTGAGCCAGCCAGGCTCCCCCTTCAACACTGTTGAAAAGTTATTCGACCTCAAAGAGTCTTTTTGTCTATGGAGATTGTATGAATTTAGTGTAAATTTTATGAAAAACAACCATTTTTTAAAAGTTTAGTGAGAAAAGGGTATTTTACTTTTTGCATATTTCTTTAATATCTGGCTTTTTTTTTAAGGCTTTACTTATTCATGAGAGACACAGAGAGAGGCAGAGACACAGGCAGAGGGAGAAGCTCCCTATAGAGAGCCCGATGCAGAGCTGGATCCCAGGACCCTATGATCACAGCCTGAGCCAAAGGCAGAAGCTCAGCCACTAAGCCACCCAGGTGCCCCTAATATCTGATAATAGAAGATATCTGGAGTCTCATATCTGCTTCTGTGTTCAATCTGTTGCAGTATATTATTTTGAAATATATAAAGAAAATCTAGGGGCTCCTGGTGGCTTAGTCAGTTAAGCATCCAACTTTTGATTTCAGTTCAGGTCATGATCTCAGGGTTATGAAATCAAGTCCGCATCAGGCTCCAGGCTAGGTATGGAGCCTGCTTAAGATTCTCTCTCGGGACCGCCTGGGACGCTCAGTTGGTTAAGCACCTGACTCTTGATTTCGGCACAGGTCATGATCATGATCTCAGGGTCATGGGATCAAGACCTCTGTCAGGCTCCATGCTCAGCAGGGAGTCTGCTTGAGATTCTCATTCTCTCTCTCTCTCTCCTCCCTTTCCCCTTTCCCCTCTCTCCCCCTTTCTTTACCCCATTCTCTCTCTCAAATAATAAATAAATCTTTTTTTAAAAAAAAGATTCTCACCCCTCTTCAGCCACTCCCCATGGCAAAATGAAAATCCAGCCTCATGCAGATATGAAATGGAAAAGGAAGGGATGATAGTAGCTTTTTCTGATACTGTGTACATTCTTCATTGATACTACACCAAAACTCAGCACGTAATTTACTAAAGGTTAATCACACTACAGAACCTGAACCCCTAGCCATGAACTTTTCATACTGTGTTATACTAAAACCCATCAGTCTGTCTTGCACTTTATTTTTTTTAAGATTTTATTTATTTATTCATGAGAAACACAGAGAGAGAGAAGCAGAGACAGACAGAGGGAGAAGCAGACTCCTCGCAGGGAGCCCGATGTGGGACTCAATCCTGGGACCGGGATCATGCACTGAGCCAAAGGCAGACACTGAACTGCTGAGCCACCCAGGTGTCCCTGTCTCGCACTTTAAATGGATCATTGACCCAGCCATGATTTGTAACATTATGCATTGGTCATTTGAGAAACAATAGCTTGCTGACTTTTATACAACCTCTAAATAGTGACATTTTCATTATACAATATCCAAAAAAATCCGCCTTTGTTCATATCACTGTTGACCTCCTGAGAAGTCTTTTAAGTATCAGGAAGCTGTCAGGGCACCTGGGTGGCTCCATCGGTTAAGTATCTGACTTTGGTTCAGCTCATGATCTTGGAGTCCTGGGGTCAAACTCCATGTCAGGCTCCCTGAACAGGAAGGAGCCTGCGTCTCCCTCTCCCTCTGCTGCTCCCCCTGCTTGTGCTCGCTCTCGCTCTCTCTCTAATAAATAAAATCTTAAAAAAGAAACCCACACAATATCAGGAAGCTGTCACGTTCATGGTGACCTATAGCAAGTTCTTGTAATTAACTTTACTAATTAATTTACTAATTAATTAATTTTGCTTGAAACTTTATAGATTTTTTTTCATTTTTCATTTTTTTAAGATCTTATTTATTTGAGAGAGAGCACAAGCAGGGGAAGGGCAGAGGCAGAGGGAGAGGGAGAAGCAGACTCCCTGCTGAACACAGAGCCCAACACGGAGCTCGATCCCAGGACCTCCGAGAGATCATGACCTGAGCTGAAGGCAGATGCTTAACCAACTGAGCCACCCAGGCGCCCCTATTCTTATTTTTTAAGTAACCTCGATGCCCATTGTGGGGCTTGAACTCACAACCCTGAGATCAAGAATCATGTGCTCTAACAGCTGAACCAGCCAAACACCCCCGAAAGTTTTTTTTAAACCTTGACTTTTTGTCACAGGCAACAAATGACGGCAGTTGTTTCCCTTGAGGTGATAAGCTCACTTCATTTTCAGGAAGATGTCTGCCAAATACCCAAGTGTGAAATGCTAGTTTGCCAGTCATCCTCACAAGTACAAATGGGGTCCTGTGAGAAAAGCACAGGTGCTTATGTGGACTTCCCATCTGGTCACACCAAATATCAAAAGATTTTTACTCCATTTCGAGCCCCATATTGGGTGTGGTGATTACTTAAATAAATAAAACTTAAAAAAAATTAAGTAATCATGCTACTTTATCAACAGTGTTCCTAAGTGAAATGGGTTTGTCTCTCCTGGTGAGGAACACGGTGACTAGAACGACGGGTGCCCCTACTTGATTCATGCGTAGGCTCCATGGATTACGAACCATTGCTTTCACACCATCAGGGCACATGTCAACAAGGTGGAACAGACAAATAATGTCTTAATTTTATTATTGAAGACAGTTTTGACCTCACAGACCCCCTAGAAGGGAATTAGGGATGCTACCAGGTGTCCACAGACCACACTTTGAGAACTACCTGGCAGCAGTGGCCTTTCAGTATGTAATGGTCCATCTGGCTCTTTGTAAGAACCTTCTTGTTCCACTGCGTGTGTGATATCAGATCAAATTGATACCTTTTTTTTTGCAGACACGTGGGTGTTTTCTGGTTTTCCCCTCAAAAACAGTGCTGCTAAAGATGTCCTTGTGCCTGTGTGCACTTGAGGCTGGGTTAAGGCCCTTGACACCTGCCAGATGGGCTGACCCCACTTGCCTCCCTACCCGCTGTGCCCGAACTTTTGTGTGTGTGTTATTTGCAGGTGGAGCATGACCCCCCCCATGGTGAATGCCTACTACTCGCCCACCAAGAATGAGATTGTGTTTCCTGCCGGGATCCTGCAGGCGCCGTTCTATACCCGCTCCTCACCCAAGTAGGATGCTTGTGGTGCTCCCACCCTGTCTCCTCCCCCCCCCCCCCATGGACACCCAGCCCAGCCCTGTGGCCCACGACTGACCACACGAGCCAGCCAGTCTCACTGAGTGCCTCTGGTCCCGCTAGCCAAGGAAGCTTGGGACTTTCAGTGATGTTGCAAAGAAAACAACGTCCTCACTCCTTGTGCTTCCGTCCAGGGGTGCCTGGGATCCAGAAGCCTCTGCACAGTGGGAGCTTGGGGGTGTGTCACCTGAAGTCAGGTGCCCTATCTAGAGGAATGTCCCTCTAGTGGTGTTTTAGAGCAGTCACAGTTTGGGGGGGCGGGGGTGCAAAGTGTGAGAGCAAGGCCTCAGAAAGGAAAGGCACATGGCCCTGGGTTTGAATCCCAGGTCTGCTCTTTGCTGACTGTGTGGCCTTTGGGCAAAGTGATCGAACCATTCCAAGTCTCAGTTTGCTTATCTATAGAGTCCATCACTAATGCCAAACTCTTTTGAGGTGACCAGAGAGGATAGTAAAGTTCAGTGGAGCATCTAGCACAGTGCTGGCACCCAGTGGGTACAGGCTGACTACAGCCTGCTTGCTCAGCCTCTGACTAGCCTCCAGGGCTTAGCTGGAGGCTCAGGCTGTGGCTACGTCCCCACAGAGCCCCACGGGACCCTGCTGTGTCTCCAGACCCAGGAAGCGGCATCACCCTCACCTTTGTGTCCTCCCCTCCAGGGCCTTAAACTTTGGTGGCATTGGTGTTGTCGTGGGCCACGAGCTGACTCATGCTTTTGATGATCAAGGTATGGCTTCCTGGGGTCCCCTTCAGAGAGGGAGCATCGAAGCCTGGCCCTGCTGCTTCTGCTTTGCTCTCGTTACTTCCAAAAGTCTGGAGACAAATGGATCTGGGTTCCATTCTGGCTCTGCCTTCTGCCGATTGAATGAACTTTAACAAGTCCTGTCATTTCTCATCCTTGTCTGTAAAATGGTCATGATGATTGCAGCCTCATGTGGTGATTGTGGGGACTGTGTCAGACACAGGAGGTTGCTGGAAGGTGTCCCCTACTCAGGAGTGGGTGTTAGGAGTCAGAAGGGAGCTCACATTTCTCCAGTGCTCTGAAGACTTCACTGGGCCAACTGCCATCAGAAGAGTTGAGGTCACTTATCTCCTCATCAAAACATCCAGAATCCTCATTCCCTCCTACCTTGGGGACCCCAAGGCCAAGAAGGAGGAGATGGGACCTTAGAGGCTGGGGCCTGTCCTGTGATCCCAGTGCTGCTGACTCCATTTCCCCCTTCCCAGGCTCAGGGTCCCAGGCCCTCAGCCAGCCCTGACAGTGAATCCAGCTCCACCAACACCGTGGACAGTCTGAGCCTTTGCCCACATCACCTTCCTCCATCTTCTCTCCCCCACCCACCACCCAGCCAGCCTGGCTCATTCTCCCAGCAACTCTGGCCCCCAGACCAGCATCATGTCCCCAGTGGTGCTGGGGAGATGGGGGATGGGCAGGTGGCTCCACCTCGGCCTCCTCCTCCCCTTCTCGCCCTTGACCCTAGGCTTCCCTCTGACCCCACAGGACGAGAGTATGACAAGGACGGGAACCTTCGGCCCTGGTGGAAGAACTCATCCGTGGAGGCTTTCAAGCAGCAGACGGAGTGCATGGTGGAGCAGTACGGCAACTACAGCGTGAACGGGGAGCCTGTGAACGGCCGGCACACGCTGGGGGAGAACATCGCTGACAACGGGGGCCTCAAGGCGGCCTATCGGGTAAGCCCTCACCGCCCCCCACTGCCCCCCCCTCCCCCGGGTCTGGGTCTGTGCTGGGGCCTCCTGGGACGTGGAGGCGGGGGAGGGGGCGGGGAGGAAGGGCCTGTCCAGTCCAGACAAGCTGGGACAAGCTGCAGCTGCTCCTTTCTGCCTCCTCATCTGCGACCCGGTGGTAGCAGCCTGACACAGGGCCCTGCAGAAACCTCCGCACAGAGCGTGGAGCCACCTGACAGCCTGCCTGTTCCTATCCTTGCGGGGATAGGTGTCACCCATCCAGGCAGCAGCAGACCCAGGAGGGGAGGGAGGGTCGATGGTCATGGAGTCGGTCCCGGGTTCAAGTCCTGATTCCGGAGTAAGTCACCCAGCCTCCTTGTGCTTCAGCGAGCTTGGCATGAACACCTACTCCAGCATCCGTGGGGCGTCGGAAGGGCGACAGACAACTTGGGCACAGGGCCTGGTCCAGGGAGATGCTCAGAAAGGTTAGCTGAGTGGGAAGGGAGAGAGGAGAGGCCACAGGAAGAGGAGGAGGTGTCTATCAGACAGCAGGACAGAGCCGCCTCCTCATCGTGATGAGAACAGAAATACTATGAGGTACCAGGTCTTGAGGCCTTATTATGTGCCAGGTTCTGCTCAGCACCCCACAACTTTACCATTAGGTATACAACCTCCACTTAACAGGTGAGGAAACTGAGCCCAGAAACACTGGGCCAACCCATGCCTAAACAAATAAGATAATTTCAGGTGCTGACAAGACAAAGAATATAAAATATGAAATAGAGCAAAGTAATGCAGAACAAGGGGAGCGGTGGTCAGGATAGTCCCTCTGGAGGGAGTGACATTTGAATTGACACTTGGATGATGAGGAAGAAGCTGGTCTTCCTGTCTTTGGCCGTGCAGCCTGTGTCCATCTCCACTTCCTATTCTTGGGCACGGGTGGAGTGGAGGGAGGGGATGTTGGAAGAGTGGCTGGGGCCAGAGCTCACGGGCCTCTGTCGGCTGATCAAGGAGCTTAGGTTTTGTTCTGTATAATGGGAGCTGCCACAGGATTTTTAAATAGAAGAATGACATCCTCTATTTTATCCCTTAAAACCAGGATCAGCAGGGGTGCCTGGCTAGCTCAGTCTGAGGAACATGCAGCTCTTGATCTCAGGGTCATGAGTTTGAGCCCCATGGTGGGGTGTAGAGATTACTTAAATAAATAAACCTTCAAAAAAACAAAAAACCACGGGTTAGGAAACCTACACCCTGTGGGCCAAAACCAGCCCTCAGCCTGTTTTTGTGAATAAAATTGTAGGGGGGCCCCTCCAGGCCCGTTGGCTGCCATTGTCCACGGCTGCTTTCACACCACAAAGGCAGAACTGAGCAGTTGCACCAACACCATTTGGCCTCCAAAGCTGAAAATATTTACTCTCAGGCCCTTTGCAGAAAAGTCTGCCAACCTTGCTTTATGAGGATGACTTAAGATGTTATGTTGAGAAGGGATTGGAATTGGACCAGCTCGAGTCAAGGAGTCTAGTTAGCAAGCTGTTGTGAGATTGTCCAGGCAAGAGAAGGGGCAAAGCCATGGCAAGGGTGAGAAGTGGCCAGATTTAGGTGGTTTGGATAATTGAACGAGAAGTTCAGGGCTGCCTGGCTGCCTCAGTCGGAAGAGCGTGTGATTCTTGGTCTTGGGGTCATGAGTTTTTATTTACTTAAAAATAAAATCTTTGGGGATCCCTGGGTGGCTCAGCGGTTTAGCGCCTGCCTTTGGCCCAGGGCGCGATCCTGGCGTCCTTGGGATCGAGTCCCACGTCAGGCTCCCTGCATGGAGCCTGCTTCTCCCTCCTCCTGTGTCTCTGCCTCTCTCTCTCTCTCTCTCTCTCTCTCTCTCTATGTCTATCATAAATAAATAAATAAATGTTTAAAAAAACTCTTAAAAAAATAAAATAAATTCTTTAATATTTTATTTATTTATTCGTGAGAGACATACACAGAGAGAGAGAAAGAGAGAGAGAGAGAGGCAGAGACAGGCAGAGGGAGGAGCAGGCTCCATGCAAGGCAGCCTGACGTGGGACTCGATCCCGGGTCTCCAGGATCACACCCTGGACTGAAGGCAGCGTTAAACCGCTGAGCCACCTGGGCTGCCTCAAAATAAAATCTTTTTAAAAAGAAAAGAAAGAAATAGAAGCTCAAAAAAGAACTCTGAGGGGGGGGGCCCAAGGAACTAGGTGCCATTTACTGTGGTGGGAAAGTGTGTGTGTACGTAACCCCTCTCCCCGCTTCTGTCTGTAGTGTGTTAAGTCTGGATGCATCTTGGAAATCCAATTGAAGCCACTGAATACACAAACCAGGGTCTTCCCTGGAATACACAAACCAGGGTCTTCCCTGGCTGGAGCTAGAAGTATGCACTTGAGAGCCATGGCCACGTAGATTATTTTTAAGGCCCTTTGGAATGAGTGCAAGTGAAGATTGTTTCTCTGGGCTGAGCAGGGCCCAGACTCCCCAAAACGAGTCACTGCCCCAACAGGGTAGAGCTTGCTGAGATCTCCTGCACTGGCCCCCCATTGCCGCCCTGTTTGCTCCTGTGTCGTGGGAGCCCCTGACCTTTGCTTTCTCTCCCCCAGGCCTACCAGAACTGGATAAAGAAGAACGGGGCTGAGCAGACGTTGCCCACCCTGGGCCTCACCAATAACCAGCTCTTCTTCCTGGGCTTTGCACAGGTGAGTTCATTATAGGAAAATATGCCAAACCCAGGCACATTCTCCAGGAGCTCTGAGAGCCAAAAGGCAAGTTCCCCCAACTGAGAACCTTCTAGCTCATTGGATTGTTCATAGGACATCTACTCTGTAAGAAGGCGAGCTTCCTGCCAGTAGAGAAATCCCATTAAGGGCCACAGATGCCATTGAAAGGTTTCCCGTATCAGTTAGATGGGAGGACAAGTGGGTCCTAAGGGCCCTTCTGGTTCAGGGGTTCTAGAAATCTCCTAAACTGAAGATGCCTCAGGATGTCCTTTGAGTTGGCATTAATGTATAGTTTTCTGTTGGTGCCTAGAGCCACCAGGCCACTAGATAGTTTTTGTTCTGTCCAGGAAGTGAGTGACCTGGACTCAGGTCAAAGCTTTCAGACTGGATTTTAGGCAGAATCCTTTGTTCAGATGAAGTCTAATGCAGAGGCCCAGGCCAGACAAAGGTGACTGCAGTAGGGGAATGCCAGGGTAGGGGCATACCAGCCCCCGGTTTCTTCCCTACCCACCTAGTAGCCCCCCCTGACTCCCAGGGGTCTCAGAACTGGGTGGGGGCTCATTCTCCTGCTGTTGTGGATGGAGGGGGCAGTCTGCTGGTCTCGGGGCCCCACAGTGACTCAGCTTCTCCCTTGTTGCCTCACAAAGGTCTGGTGCTCTGTCCGCACGCCTGAGAGCTCCCATGAAGGCCTCATCACCGATCCTCACAGCCCCTCCCGCTTCCGGGTCATTGGCTCCGTCTCTAACTCCAAGGAGTTCTCAGAACACTTCCACTGCCCCCCTGGCTCACCCATGAACCCTCATCACAAGTGTGAAGTCTGGTGAGGGTGGAAACACCTCGAGCAAAGACAGGATGAGCCCCCCGGTGGGGCCCACAAGGCCGCCTTTCCATCCAGCATCCGGGGTGTCGCCCCACACCCTGGCCACCCAGGGCCCCCCTACCCTGCACTGGAGGGTTTCCAGCCGGAACTGAGCCTATGATGTGGGTTCTCAACATAATCTGACGTTTGATCCCCTGTGAAGACTCTGTCATCCCAGGCACGTGTGCGTCAAGTCTCACGGGCATTTGGGGGTCAGACCGGTTGCTTGCCAGGCCCGGACCCCCTACTGACAAGGGCAGTGGGGCACGGCCCCCCGCCCACATCCAGCGCCAGAAACACCACAAATACCACTGTGTCAAATGCTTTAAAGATATATTTTTGGGGAAACTATTTTTTAAACATTGTGGAATACACTGGAAATCTTCAGGGAAATGATGCATTTAAAACACTTTTTTTTTTTTAAGGAAAGGATTGGTATATTTATTATATTCTGTTTTTCTACATAACCTGTGGATAAGGGAAGCCCCACCGACTCTCCGGTCCCTTCCTCCCCCGCTGTGAGGTGGGCCGAGGCCGTCGCCCCGCTGAGCACGCGCGGGAGGGAGCTGCCCCTGCCCTTGGCGCTTGCCCTGTCGGAAGAGAGGGGCGGGGCCGGCCCACGGGGGCAGCTCGCAGACCCTGCCCCTCGGAGCTGGCCCGCCTGTCCCCGAGGCCGGCAGCGGGAGCCCCACCAAGGGCGGGCTGGTCCCCGAGTCGATGGCTGTCGTCGATGGCTGTCGCAGGAGGGGCCGGTGCTGGCCTTCAAGCCAGCTGCACGGCAGGAGCCCCGAGAGAGCGCGCCCTGGGTGGCCACGCTGGCCTCCTCGGCCGGCTGAGCTGGGTCCCCGCCTGGGGGGCTCCCGGCCCGCGGCCCGCCCCCAGCTCCAGTGCCTTATCTGAGGCCGCCCAGGCTCACCCGCCGCCCTTGCCTCCTCAGTGAAGCCTTCAGGCGTCTGCCCGCAGTGCCAGGCCACCCGCTCCTCGCAGCGGCCCGCAGCCGCCCCCGCGGCGGCCCAAGGTCAGGAACGGGCCGGACCCCATCCCGCCCCTGGGGCGGACTCAGGCAATCCCCGGTGGAGGGGCGGAGGGGTTGCCAGCCCGGGAAGACCCCGAGGGAAGGCCCCCGCGGCCCTGTCTAGCCTGGGGCCCGCGCTCCCTCAGGCACTCGCCGGCTGCCGGCAGCCTCGCCTCGCGGCGGGACTGAGGCGGTCCTGAGGCGGGACTGAGGCGGGTCTGAGGCGGGACTGAGGCGGGACTGAGGCGGGACTGAGGCTGGTCTGAGGCGGGTCTGAGGCGGGACTGAGGCGGGTCTGAGGCGGGACTGAGGCGGGACTGAGGCGGGTCTGAGGCGGGACTGAGGCGGGACTGAGGCGGGTCTGAGGCGGGACTGAGGCGGGACTGAGGCGGTCCTGAGGCGGGTCTGAGGCAGGACTGAGGCGGGTCTGAGGCGGGACTGAGGCGGGACTGAGGCGGGACTGAGGCGGTCCTGAGGCGGGTCTGAGGCGGGACTGAGGCGGGACTGAGGCGGGTCTGAGGCGGGACTGAGGCGGTCCTGAGGCGGGACTGAGGCGGTCCTGAGGCGGGACTGAGGCGGGTCTGAGGCGGTCCTGAGGCGGGACTGAGGCGGGACTGAGGCGGTCCTGAGGCGGTCCTGAGGCGGGTCTGAGGCGGGACTGAGGCGGGTCTGAGGCGGTCCTGAGGCGGGACTGAGGCGGGACTGAGGCGGTCCTGAGGCGGTCCTGAGGCGGGTCTGAGGCGGGTCTGAGGCGGGTCTGAGGCGGGACTGAGGCGGGTCTGAGGCGGGACTGAGGCGGTCCTGAGGCGGGACTGAGGCGGTCCTGAGGCGGGACTGAGGCGGGTCTGAGGCGGGACTGAGGCGGTCCTGAGGCGGGACTGAGGCGGGACTGAGGCGGGCTGGCTCCAGGCGACCCCGCCTCACAAGCAGCAGGCCTGGTAGCTCTTCAGAGGAGTGGGACGGGAGCCAGAGAAGACTCTAGAGTCGGGCTGCCACGCGCACCCTGGCGCCCCGAGGTAGGCTCCCCGGGGCCCCTCCGTGTGCCCCCCCGCCCCCCTCCTTCGGGCCTTCCCCACGAGGGCCGCGGTCCTCAGCGTGTCCCCGGCACCGTGGACCGCAAGTCTCCTGGCTGCACGCAAGTGTCCCTGGCTGTGGGCTCGGCCAGAGGCGCTGCGGACTGCAGTGATTTCTTCAGGCGTCCTGAGGAAGCGGGGGGCGGGGGGCAGGAGGGCCAGGCCCAGGGATGGGCCTGCTCCTCCAGAGCTTGAAGGCTGAGGAGCCGGGGCTGCCCGCTGAGAGCCCCAGGGCCGGCTTCCCTGTGCGCCCGGACGTGGGGTGTGGAGCTGGGAATCTGTTTTTTGTATTATTATGTTTTGTGCTACTGTAGTTTGGGTGTGGCACTATCGTAACTCAAATAAAGTCCTTGTACCGAGTGGCAGGTGACTGCGTGTGTGCCCGGGGTGTGCCCGGGGTGTGCGTCCTGTGGGGCTGCGGGGGGCGGGGGGGCAGGGCCCAGGCAGAGCTTCCCATCCCAGCCCCCGGGCCAGCTGTCTCCTCCCCCTCCCCGGGGCAGTGGCCTTGGACCCTGACAGATGCTGGAAGGTTACTCAGTGCCGGTGCCCATCGGGCCATTCTTCCTTCAGCAATAGATCTGGGAGAATGATACGTGCCACCCTGTCCCCAAAGGGCATCCTGGTAAGAATTATTTTTCCATGATCTCGGAGCAAAGCGTGTCAGCAGTGGGTTTCCAGGCCTCAGATGCTTGGCAGGGCAGACAGGAGTAGGTAAATTCAAAGAAGTTCAAGGAAAAGTGTCTGACATGCACTCACGCCTCCCCTTGGGTTTTGCATATGCTCTTCCCTCTGCCTAGAATGTTCTTCTCTGACTTCTCCGCCTGATAAACTCCTACCCATCCTTCAATGCCTAGCTTAGCATTACCTCTTCTAGGAAGCCCTCCCTGACCTCCAATCGGGTACGAAGGCACAGGCTTCCCTCTCTTACCAGAGTTTTTCAGTGCCAGGGCTACCATAGCAAAGTCTCACAAACTTGGTGGTCTACACAGCAAAAATTTATTGTCTCACAGTTCTGGAGGCTAGAGTCCAAGATCAAGGTGTCAACAAAGTCGATTCCTTCTGAGGGATGTGAGGAAGAATCTATTCCAGGCATCTGGCCTAGCTTTTGGTGGCTTGCTGGCCATCTCTGGCACTCCTTGGCTTGTAGAAGCATCAGCGATGTCTTCCTTCATCTTCATGTGGTGTTCTCCTGGTGTACACATCTGGTACGTGTCTGAATTTCCCCCGCCCCTCTTTTATAAGGACATCAATCATGTTGGATCAGGGCCCACCCTCATGACCTCATTTTAACTAATGACATCTGCAGCGATCCTATAAGGTCATATTCTGAGGTCCTGGGGGTTACAACTTCAACATATGAATTTGAGGAGACACAATTCAACCTGTAACACAGAGGTTCCAATATCTAGGCTGTGAAAAGGCCTGTATCATGTCTAGCAGCCCAGGGCCTGGCAAAAACCGGCCATGGAGTAGGGCCCGGTGACTGCTAGATAAGTGGCTGGGTGGGTGAATGGGTGGACAAGTAGATGAGTGGGTGGTAGGTGGGTGGATGGGTACATAGGTGAATGGATGGATGGATGGATAGATAGGTGGGTGAATAGAAGGGTGGATAGGTGGATAAGTGAATAAATGGAAGGATGGCTGAAAGGACAGATAGCAATAAATTATGTGTTATCAAGGGAGCCATTCCCAAATATACCAATGCCAGAGAGAATGAGCTCAGTGGGCTGGGGTAACCAGGAAAAACTTTCTGGAGGGAAGAGATTTTAGTTGAGCCTTGACTAAAGGGGGAGAATTGGGGTTCATACTCTGAACTGAACAGAGTGATGACCTGAGCAAGCACCTATTCAAAGGGCAAAACTCCTCACCCTGCCTTGCTTGAAAAGGAGTAGTACATCATTTCTCAGTTTCTCCAGATGTAAAATGGACATTTATCTCTTTCTTCTCTTTGTTGTGACCCACAAATATTGGGGAGATATGAGGATGCTTAAGAACAGTGATGCACTCTAAACCCCTCAGAACACCCACACTAGGTGTGTGCATGAGCCCATAGCCCAGTATTTCTCACTCGGGCAGCTCAACCTCATCCCCTCCAACTAACTGTCCTCGGGAGAGCAGCCTATTTAAAGATCACATCACTCCCCTTCACCAGCTCCCCACTGCACTTATCTCCCCTAGGACCTGGACTCTGCCCTAACTGCCCCCAGTGGACCTTCCCCTTGCCACCTTGAACCTCCTTTTTGCACCTTACACAGTCCCTGCCTGCTTTTTAGATTGGAATGTCTTCTAGACACCCTTGCCAATGAATGAATAAATGAATACATGGCTTTTTTCTTAAAGCTTCCACATACTGTGTGCCTACTGCAAATCAGACTTGCGCTGGGTGCTCACACATCCTCTTCCTGAATGCTTACAGCAGTTTTTGGAGACAGCTACTTTATCACCCAGGTCAGAGGGGAACAGTGGGCAGAGCTGAGTTCTGAACCCAGGCTGCTAGCAAGGAGCTGCTTGGGAAAACATGAGAAGCTCCCACAGAACAGTGATGTTCCTGGAGGCTATACACACACACACACACACACACACACACACACATACACACTGAGATATCTCAGAGAGAGACACCATTTTTCCCTGCAGAGGGCTCTCTTCCTGATGTTCCCCTTTTCCCAATGACCAAATGAACAGGCCCCTACCTCTCCCTTGCTCTGAGCCTTGGAGTCCCAACCAGGAATTAAAACCTCAGCCAAAAAAGAAAAAAACAAAACAAAACAAAACAAAGCAAAACAAAAAACCAGCCAGACCCTTTAGGGGTTTACCTACAGCTGAGATGCAAACACATGCCGGCTGCCACTAGAGCACAAGCAGAAACTATACAGGAGTTTTAGTAATAAGTATGTAATGTAAGCAAAGGAGTCCAGCAAATGTTCTCTGGAAGAGTTGAGAAACTGCAAAAGGAAGGCACCAGAGAAGATATTAAAGAGTCTAGGACAATAATAAACCCAATTTGAAATGGTCAAGACTTTTGCAGAGAGAACTATAACACTTTACCCAAGAACATATAAGAAGACCTGCATAAACGCATGGGACAGCCCTGGTCATGAATGGAAAGATTCACTGTAATTCAAGGTATTGATTTTTCCCCAAGTTAATCTGTAATTTCAGTGTCCTCTCAACCAGAGTTCAGGACATGTTCTCATTGAACTTGATAAGCTGATTCACAAGGAGGAGAAAATGCACCATGGCCAAGACGATTTTGAGGGAGCTAGCCCTATCAGAATCTAAAGCTGTGGTAAATAATATAGTGTGGGGTTGGTGTCAAGAGAGAGGAATTGAACAACTGGAATTTCTAGAGAGCCAGAAACAATTCTGTGTATAGGGGATGCGTGGGCAGGACAAAGGAAGCCCTTTAAATCAGCTGAGAAATGATAAGCCATGTAACAAATGGTGGTAGGTTATCCACTTGGGAAAAAATGGATCTAGACCTCTCCTCCCTCATAGTTCTCACACATGTTACAGCAATAAATATACCAGAGACCTAAGCATATAAAAATCATAAAATTAATAGATAAAATATCACAGAATGCGTTTAGGTTAGGGTTAGGGGAAAAGGAGGGGCACCTGGGTGGCTCAGTCAGTTAAGCAGCTGATTCATGATTTCAGCTCAGGTCATAATCTTAGAGTCCTGGGATTGAGTCCCGAGTCAGGCTCCGTACTCGGCAGAGTCTACTTGAGGATTCTCTCTCTGTCTCTGCCCCAACTCTTGCTCATGCATGAGCTCTTTCTCAAATAAATAAATGAATCTTTAAAAAAGAGAGGGGGGGGGCACCTGGGTGGCTTAGCGGTTTGGTGCCTGCCTTTGGCCCAGAGCATGATCCTGGAGTCCCGGGATCAAGTCCCACATCAGGCTCCCTGCATGGAGCCTGCTTCTCCTTCTGCCTGTGTCTCTGCCTCTCTCTGTGTCTCTCATGAACAAATAAATAAAATCTTTTTTAAAAAATAAAATAAAAAATAAAAAAAGAGAAATACAATTCAGAGTATTTCAACTGATAAAAATTCTCCACTCAAAACCAAGCATAAAGCTAAAGAAAACTATCACATGATACTTTAAACTGAATTAAACATCCTCAAATAAGCATTTGAGGATATGGGAAAACACCTCAAATCAGAAATACAAAATCTAATAATAGAAACAGACTTTAAAAAAACGGAAGAAGAAGAAAAAAAAAAACGGAAGAGATTAGATGAGAATTGACCTCAGAGAGGAAAATAAAGTTATATCATAGATGAAGTTTAAACGAGGAAGTGTCCAAATGTCCGAGGGAAAATCAGATTCAAATGAAAAGTTTACAGAGGAAAAAAAAAGAAAAGAAAAGTTTACAGAGGACATTGAAGAAAAGGCAGAGAAGCAACCGAGAGAATGAAAGCTAGATAAAGAGGTAAAAATGGTGAAGAGTTGATGTCTCAGGCCATAATCCAAGCAGACTTTCCAGAAATGAAAGCTCTGGACCCACATACACATTAAAAGGCCTCACTGGGGGATCCCTGGGTGGCGCGGCGGTTTGGTGCCTGCCTTTGGCCCAGGGCGCGATCCTGGAAACCCGGGATCGAATCCCACATCGGGCTCCCGGTGCATGGAGCCTGCTTCTCCCTCTGCCTGTGTCTCTGCCTCTCTCTTTCTCTCTCTCTCTGTGACTATCATAAATAAATTAATTAATTAAAAAAATTTAAAAAAAAAAAGGCCTCACTGGCTACTATATGAAATTGACATTGAGTCATCAATCCTTAAATACCTCGATCCAGGTAAAGCTACTACAGATAGGTTGCCTCCAAAATCCAAAAAGGACCTGCTAGGTGTTATGCCTTTTTTTTTTTTTTAAGGTTATAGGAGAGACCAGATGCAATAATTTGTCTTTTACTCTAGAATGCTTCTCTTGGGGCAGCCCGGGTGGCTCAGCAGTTTAGTGCCACCTTCAGCCCAGGTTGTGATCCTAGAGACCCGGGATTGAGTCCCTCGTTGGGCTCCCTGCATGGAGCCTGCTTCTGTCTCTGCCTCTCTCTGTTCTCTCATGAATAAATTTTTAAAAATGTTTAATAAATAAATAAATAAATGGCTCCTCTTGACAAGCCCACACTACTGGACCTCTGGGAATGTACTGAAGTGAAAGACAGTTTTCCGTGGGATTTATCTCCTACCGTCTGATGGACAAATATCTTTTTCCTTTAAGAATTTATTTATTTTTATTTTTTTTATTTTTATTTTTTTTAAGATTTTATTTTTAAGTAAACTCTACACCTCATGTGGGGCTTGAACTCACAACCTCAAGGTCAAGAGTCACATGCTCTACCGACTGAGCCAGCCAGG